CCCCTCCCCTCCCCTCCCCTGTCCTCTCTTCCTATTATCTACCCGGATTTAATAAAAGGTCTTTTTCTTCGAAATCTTGAAATTCGATTGAATTTCGAGCTTCAAGCAACCGACTTTTTTTTAATAACGAAATGAGCAACAAAAACAACAGCGGAAAAAGAAAAGAAAAAAACGCAAAATACTTCGTTCTTCTTCCTCTGCCCCCGTGCCTCCTCCCTTCCTCCCCCTCTCTTCCCTCCCATACGTTTTTTTTTCTTTTCTTTTTTTTCTGCCTCTTGCGCGATGTACCCTGCTGCTGTACGTGAGCTAACGAGCTCGCCCAAGAGACGTTCTCCTCCGTCTCTTTTCTTCTTCAACATTTTTACCTCTCTTCTCTTTCTCATCATTTTTTTTTTTCCTTTTTATTTTCCCCCTTCCATTCCCACCTTGCTCCACCTCGCCCAACTGAAGCCCAACCAGCGGCCCGTTCGTCCCTGATTGCCACCCCCCTGCCTGCAGAAGAAGGAGAGTGATCTCGTCAGGGGTGCTCACTTCTCGGTGGTGCCTGTCGTAACGCACTGCCCCCCGTGCGCCTTCCCTGGTCAGAGAACACATACTAGTAGAGCAAAAAAAAAAAAAAAAAAAAAAAAGGCTACCAGAGTGGCCCGGGGTCACTTGCCCGGCCAGGCCAAAAATAATAAAAATAATAAATATAACTTTAATAAAATAATTATTTTTAAATTTTAATTTTTATTCTAAAATTTGGTGAAGAATTTCGTTGTGACCCTGATGTTGGTAAGTTTATCATTGTAGCCCAGTAATCGATCCTCAACCAAACGGACTTCCGCAGCCAAACGAATCGAACCCGTGACCTCGGCTGTAGCAGCCAGATGCCTTTACCACTGCAACGGTGACCCGGTGCTCAAAACTGAAACCATACCGGTCGTGACATTCCGCCCACCCCAGCACCTATGTGACCCTGAGGCAAAAGTTGTTCAATTTATTTTTCTGCATAACATAGTTTTTTGGGGATTTTTTTTATTTATTTATTTTTGTTGTTGCTGGGGCCTTCCCTGGTCCTTGCACGGGCTGGCCACCGGGGACCCGGGCGGCCTGGTTGGTAGCCTAGAATATATATATATATATATGGTCACAAACATATATATATATATATCGTCACATATATTGTTCCAACGTCGAAATTTTTAACCGACCTCCCGAGGGAAAAGACCTCCAACGATGTTGTACCTTTGTCGGCCTTTTCTCTAAGATAAGATCCCCACCTGTAGTATCAGTTGTTTTGATCAGTTTGATATCTCGGCCTTTATAGTGGGAGTCGGAGAGCACGGGGTTGCGGCCGGGGCTTGAGCGTGAGTGGTGTGGAGGTGGTCCGTCTTCGGGGGATGAGTATCGTGATGAACAAACTTTGCGACGGGGGATTTGTATTTATTTATTTATTTATTTATTTATTTATTACAAGAAAAAGAAAAGAAGGGTTTACAGTATTATAGCATCACAGGCTGGGAAACGGGCCCAGCGTCCCTCACAACAATAATCACGGCCTGCGGGGATGAGCCTGTCTACGAGCGATGCCAGTTCGGTTCCAAATTGGTAATTACTAATTGATGATAATTAATAGAGTGTTTTTTTGGAATGCTGTGCTGTCTACGATGCTATGGGCCTCGCTGCACTTCTCTCGAAATGTGCAAAACGAGAGTGAATCTCCCGATAGAACATGGAAAGGTACACCGCCATGATTTTTGTCTTTCGTGCATGTCGAGAGTAGTGGGGCGAGGCCCTATGGCGTGATGCTTTGGCTTTCGTATGTGCATGCTTTCGTTGCAGTTTAATATCGGATCTGTGTGGTATATCAGGCCACAAAAAAAAAAAAAAAAAAAAAAAAACTTCATCCTGTTTTTTTTTTTTAATCCCTCTTTTTGTTGAAGAACATGGAAACAAAAAAATAAAATAGTAAGGATAATAATAATACGTAAATAATATGTACATAATAATAATAAATAATAATAATAGGAAAACAGGTCACCCACGTGGTCGCTCCAAACAGCCACACGTACCATTGGGCCGTCATCATTTTTAAGAGTATCCTCTTCGGCTCGCGATCCTGCGGAGTTGGTGAGTTTGTGGTCCTCTGTCGATTTCACCTTCGTTTTCGCTCGCACGGGAGAAGAATAAGGGGTTTTCAGGGTGCGTCGAGATCGGGAGACGTGGGTCTGCCACGTGCTCGCACGTCCCAGCCATCCCGACTGACGACCTGCGAGCACCGACGACAGCCAGTCGTCCTGCTTTATCGTTGAGGTAATGACACGTGGCAGAATTGATGCTGAGAGCGCGCTGCAGTCGGCCACGTGGCGGTGCTTCAAGTTACTCCCGCGGTCTACCTGCGTGTCCTTCCTCCCCACGTGCCTGATCCCGACCTCCACGTGTCGATGTGTATACCAGGTGGCAGTGGAGTGGCGGTTCACCGCTTGTCGGTTCTGGCACACGGAATCTAGTCCTCTTCCGCGTTCAGCTAATGCCACGTGGCGGCACGACAACAAGGGACGCTGTTCTGGCTGGTGCCGCCCAGCTGCTGCGCTGGATGAAGAAAATCTCGCATGGCTTCCCTTCGGCAGCGAGATGGCACATGACGATCCCATAGCTGCCACCGTAGCTGACCCCGCAGCTGACCCCATAGCTGATGCCATGGCCGCCATAGCCGCGCACCGATCCCCTGAGAGGAGGTTACCCAACCTCCTCTTGCTCTCGCGTCTGGGGCTTTGGGTTTCTGCGCCTCTTTTTTTTTTTTTTTTTTTTTTTTTATGGGCCGCGCTACGCTTCGCTGTAGTGCAATACGAAGGCAACGCTGAAGGGGCCTGACAGGCAAGGCTACTCTTATGGCCCCTCCGTAGCCCTGAAAAATTAATTTAATACCATGTGGCCCCATGGACCACTGATCAGAACAGATACTACACTTGATCTTAGCCTCTTTTCTCCTTCCTCTTTTTTTTTTTGGAAAACTTTTCGAAATGCCCCTCCGACTTCCATGTACTTGCGGTATGCCCCTCTGAAGGCCGGCTTGCCCTGTAGTGGCCCTCTGACAATAATTGAAGTTTTCAAAAAACCCCGGCTTTCATTCGGGCCTGATATATGTTCAATATGCCCCTACCGGTGCTGGTTCCAAATTTCCAGTATGCCCGGTAGCTCACTCCCAGGGCCCGGGGAACAGCAGCGAGTGCCACCAACGACCACAGGGGCATGCTGGAAAGTTGCACCTGTCACTGAAAAGGGCCTGCAGGAAACTTTAGAGGGCCCAGGGGTACGACAGGGTAAGTTGGCCATTGGAGGGGCATACCGCAAATAAATGGAAGCCGGAGGGGCATTTCAATTTTTTTGATATCCTTCGTAGCCCTATGAAATGTTCAAGTGGAGACCAGAGAGATGGACCAATTTGACCAGAGAGAAGAAGTTGTCCAGTTGATGTAGCTCAGTGGTTAGAGCACCGTTGGAAATGTGCATGGTGGTATGAGGTTGCGGGTTCAAGTCCGCAGCCTCATGCATGGACACCGGCAGGGCGTTAGAATGACGCACGGCTGGACACACACCCCTTGGGCTGACGCATGGTAAGCTATTACAGACACTGCCTGCGCACCACCCAGGGGACTGTCCACGGTGCTGTATGTTGGGTCCTGGCCTATGAGGGGTTTTCCTGATACAGTTAGCAGTCTAATGAGGATGCAGGTACGGGTTTGTGGTTAGACTGCTCATGTGTGTTGGTTACCTTAGGCTCTGCTTTGGGGGGTGCAAGGACCTGAGATGGGATGGGGTCCCGTTTGGGGGGAGGGTTGGCTTGGGACAAGCTCTGCTGGAGGATATCGGTGGGGAACCTACAGTAGGGGATTGTCTTAAACCACCAGTACCTGGCCCAGCTATCGAGTCCGAGCCTCGGCCGACCGGTACGCCGACCCGTGCCGAGGCTCGGACTGCCGGGCGCAGGCATCCCGAACGTCGGAGTGAAAGAACGAAAAAAAGGGGGAAAAAAAACGAAAAAAAAAACGAAAAAAACAACGACAAAAAAAAACGAAAAAAAGTATGGCACTGTATATTCCCACGCTATAGCGCCAGATTCATTCGATTTTGCTCATCCTATGGAGGGCGCAGTACCATGAGGCCAGCCGCGGAGAGAGAGAGAGA